CCTTTCATGAAACAGTAAGTAAACATCTAAAGAATATGGGAATACTCCATAAAGAAGGTGTTTGGGTGCCTCACGAACTCTCCGAAGATCATCGTTTCCTACATGTGAACTATGCTTCGTCTCTTCTGGCTCGTAATGCGCGTAAACCATTTTTGGACAGAATTGTCACCGGTGATGAAAAATGGATTCTTTATGCGAATATTAAACGCAGAAAACAATGGCTCAGTCCTAGACAAAAACCACTTCCGATCACAAAACCTGGACTCCATCCGCAGCGAACTGTCAATGCAGAGATCTATAGTCAGCAACTGGAACGTTTAAATCGAGCCCTTCACCAGAAACACCCTTCACTCGTCAATCGAAAGGTGTTCTTCTCCACGACAATACACGTCCACATATGGCACGTTTGACGCAACACAAGATTATGGAGTTGGGCTGGAAAGTTCTCCCACACCCACCATATTTTCCAGATATGGCACCATCAGATAACCATCTTTATTGTTTGCTACAACACCATCCTAATGAGAAAATGTTTGCAAATGTGGAAGGTGTTAAAGAGGACATCGACAGGTTTTGCTTCAAAGCGAATTGATTTCTTTAATCAAGGCATTAACAACCTAATTGTAATTAATAAATGTTTTGTTTTGACATACAAGTTGTTTAGGTTTTTTCATTAAAAAAAAGCGACATTAATTTCTTGACGACCTAATACAATTGCGTCCAATACGCGTACTGTATTTTAGCTAGTCCAGTTACTTCCAATACACGTACTGTATTTTAGCTATTCCAATACACTTACTGTATTATAGCTTGTCAAATTACGTCTAATACACTTACTGTATTATATATAAACCAATTACGTCCAATACACATACTGAATTATAGCTAATTCAATTACGTCCAATACACATACTGCATTTTATCTAGTCTAGTTACATCCAAAATACGTACTGTTTTATAGGCAGTACAATTACGTCCAACACATGTACAGTATTATTGTTAGTAAAATTATGTTCAATGGACTGTTACGACAGCGGAAGTCGCGTAACACTGGGAGCATGCGCGCTGGAGTTTCTCGAAGGATCGTGAATTATCGAGAACCCCACGAATGTCCGAGTGTTTGCTAGACGCCCTCTTTTTTAGTATATAAGCCTGGCGAGAAAAACCAGCGGGATTGAAGAGATATAGATAGATTGAAGATATAGATAATTGAGTCAAGTGAATAGTAGGCACCATAAGTAAAGTGTGTGAATCGCTGTGATTTATAGCGTGTGTTATAAAGGTTGTTAAGTAAAGCGACGAGAAAACATATTGACTGTGGAAATTCTGTGTATTACTAAAATTTGTATCGAGAAAGAATAAACTAGTTTTAATCAAGAAGGACTTGTC